GCTTAGGAAAATCTATAAAGCAGCTTACAAAGTCCCTGCAGAATGGAAATAAAAAAGCACACATGGCTGAGCAGGCAAGTAGAAATAATGCACTCTGGTCTTGGCTAGGGTGTCTGCACACCCTCCCACCCTCTGGCTGCTCCACCTGCCCCCTTAAATATAAGTGTTAATGATTCATTTCTATTTCCAAAGGTAATCCCATAACAGATGAGAGTCAGCTCTCTATGGCACTTGGGAGGAGCCACAGGGAGTCCTGTAGTTTGACTCTGTTCAGATCTGGCTCTGTTCTGAACAGTCCAGTGACACTGAGGGATTAAGATGCTGCGTGTCACAGCTCAGTGGGAATTAGAGACCCAGCAGATAAACGAAAAGAAGTGGGACCTTCAGTCTCCATGTTTATGAGATAGCTTCAAGTCTCCTGTCACCAGCCACTGAGGAAGCCAAGCATTCCTCTGCTGGAGGAGACTTTGCTGACCTCCTCCGCCTCAACAGGAGAGGATTTTCTTACCCTACAGTCTCCTCTTAGCCTTCCATTTACATCTCACGCAGAGGAGCAGGTAAAAGAAATTAAAGTAATACAGTGAGTGTCCACCTACTGATACAGTTTGGAGAAAAACACTGTCCAAATTCACCCCTATTACACTGCCATAGAAGTATTTTATTTATTTAAAAGATTTATTTTTTATTTATGCACAGAAGAGCTGGGGTACAGGCTAGAGTTGCGGGGGTGAGAGGATTCACCAGAGACAGAGTGGGGATCAGAACAGGCAGATCCACTGAAATACACTGCTGAGGGGAGCAGTGGGGAGACAGGAGAGGTCTGCTGCTCCATGGGTGGGTCACCTCCCTGGCTGGGGATAGAACTTGTACTACGGATAGCTTCAAAGTGCTGAGACTTAACCCCTTGAGCCACCAGGGAGGCCCCATAGACCTTTTTATTTCACTTTTGCTCAACTCAACACCACTTTGATGACTAGGGAAGAGCCCTCTGGTATCAGAACAATGTCCCACTTACCTCAGTAAAATGACACTATCTTTAGCTTTCTGTTCTACTCCACCAGGGGGAATGTCGGTGAAATTACTCAGATCATTTCCACTACTGTAATAATCACCATTTCCTGTAAATAATATCAATGGAACAGGTGAATGTGTATTCACTCTATGATTACTGAATATTTGCTATGTGCCAGGCTCTATGGCAAGCACTGGAAAAATGTATAGTTCCTGCCCTCATTTACAGGCTGACAAATGTGCTTGACATTGATCTAAAAACACACAAATAAATGCAACAATGATCCAAGACAGGTCTGTGATAATATGAGAATGAAAGGGGTTTTAATCAGAGCTTCTTCCCAAGGAGGGTACAACTGAAATGAGATCTGCAGGGCAGGTAAGGTGAGCTAGAAAAAGAGGGCTGGGAAGAAGGTTCTCGCAGAGGGAAGAGCATGCACACAGGTGCTGGTGTCTGTGATGGGCTGAAAGAAGTGTCACTGCATCCAAGCAGAAAAAGTCAGCGGGACAAGCTGTAGACTGAGCACGGGCAGGACAGATGGTGGGATTTTGTTGAGCTGTTAGTTTCATTGTAAGAGCCACTGAAGGTGTGTTGCTTTAAAGTATTTATTTACATACAATAAGCTGGCCAGTTTTTAAACTTAGTTTAATGGGTTTTGATCATTGTAAATACCTCAAAGGGTTGTTGTGAGAAAGTAAGCTTTGGAATTGAAGGATAGACTTTTCCAGAGAAGCAAAAGTTAAAGAAGTTCATCATCGCTAAACCAGCCTAAGAAGAAATGATAAAGGGACTTCTTTAAACTGAATAGAAAAGGTGCTAATTAGCAACAAGAAAGAATAAATCTCACTGTAAAAATACAGTAAAGTGGATTAATCATTTATAAAGTTAGTATGGAGTTTAAAAAACAGCCAGAAAACAAGTAATAAAATGGCCATAAGTACACACTATAGATAATTACTCTGAATGTGAATGGACTAAATTATCCAATCAAAAGACAGAGAGAGAGACTCAGTGGATAAAAACCAAGATCCTCCTTTATGCTGCCTATAACATATTTGCTTCAGATGTAAAGAGTGAAAGTGAAGGATTGAAAAAAGATATTCCATGTAAATGAAAGCCCCCGCCCCCCACAAAAAAAAAAAACCAAAAACCCAAACTGGGATAGCTCTAGTTATTTCAGAAAAAATAGACTTTAAAACAAAGTCTGTAATAAGAGACAAAGT